TCTTAAACAAACAAGATCTATTAGCGGAAAAGATAAAAGCAGGAAAGCACAAATTAGAAGATTATTTTCCAGATTTTGCGAGATATCAGACACCGGTTGATGCTGGGGTAGTAGTAGATCCTTCGGAACCTCCTGACGTTATGAGGGCCAAGTACTTCATTAGAGACGAATTTCTTGTAAGTACATTTCCAATAGAGATTAGGAATCGTGTTTTATTGCGCAAGCTATAAAATTTCTCGATTCGATTGTTTGCAGCGTATAAGCACAGCGAGCGGCGACGGCAAGCACTATTGTTATCCGCACTTTACATGTGCCGTCGATACGGAGAACATCAAGAGAGTGTTTAACGATTGTCGGGACATCATTCAACGGATGCACTTGCGCCAGTACGAGCTCTTGTGACTTCGTTCCTGCCAACATGTCCTGTCATCTATTCGTATAAAAATTACGGTAGTGATCCATCTTGAGCTAACGCGAGTCAAATGAATCGTACCGTGGGCGATCTGAATAATATCGCGATGTACGACGATATATAACATTGGTGCGTGGAACTCTTCTTCGCTTATCTGAAGCCGTTTAATTATTCAGAAAGTAATGCGTCGAAGACTCCGCGTGCATGCATACATGATTGATGACTGCGAGTCGATCATTCTTCTTCGACAGAGAGTTCAAGGAGAAAAGTTGATACGCGGTGGTTGGGGATTACCTAAAGAAAATCTGTCTCGCAATGGAGAGAATAGTTCTCTTTTTTTGCACAGAATCGCTTACTATGTCATTGGTGTACAAGCAAATTATGCCCTATGCGCATTCTACTCTAACGATCGTTTTGACAGAAAAAAAAAAAAAAGAAAAAAAAGAAAAAATATCTTGGGCATTTCGATTACTCGACTCCTTTTTTTTAGGTTCCGTCGAGAGTGTGCTGAACGTCCTGAATGGGAGGGAGGGGGGGAAATAATATTCTTTGCTAGAAAAAACACGTGCAATTTTAACTATTACCTCGTTAATTTTATTCTTATTACGCATCAATTTGTTGATAAGAGTGTGAGAAAAAGAGAGAGAGTCTGGAAGAGAGCGAGGATGTACGAATGTTTCAACGTGGGCCATTGTTACAAACTAACATGACGGCGATCGCCTGGTTCCTTCGTCCGGCACACTCGTCGCGTTATTATCTCGTTCAGATTTAGTATTAAGAATGTCTCCTTAAGATTTAGGTGATTTCTCCGATAAAAAAAAATCCTTGATTGAACGTTGAACGTTTCTTTACTCATTTTTCGAATCTCTATTTTTTCCCCTTAAAACGAATTTAATTATACTATCTCCATACTGTTTATTGGTAAATTAATTTTTTCGAATTTTCGAATCTCGATTTTTAATCACATTGGCCCGACCCGTAGGAGTCTCAGCCGCACGTCTTTTTACAAGAAGAGTATTTTGTGAGATTTTACAGTATTTCGAAGAGCGTTTTAATTATATAACATATGTATCAAATATGTACAGGGTGACCGTCCACGGATTCATGTTTTTATGTACGTTTCCTATGAATCGAGATTCCTCATTGATATCGTTTTTACTGATTTTCATTGAACTATTTTAATTCGTGTACTTAGGCACATAAATATTGTCATTGTAGCTAGTGTCTACATGTAAATCCTAAACGTACGCAAGAGGAATGTGCCACGTGGGAAATTCGTTTTACGCGTACACTTCTGACTATAGTGTTAGGCTCCAACTTTACAACAATCAAAGTACATCATTGTAAACGTTATAACATACGGAGGTAATAATATTTTGCTTTATTTATTCGATTTCGTAACACAATGTCTCGTGTCTCATTTTCGAGTATTAAATGCTTTGTAATCCTGAGAGTATGCAACGGTAAACGTGTACAAATTTCGATCGGTGCATACAAATGATCAATTATCATCCGAACTTCTTAGGGTAAAGTTTTCTGAACCAAAGTGCGATGTGTGAATTTCTTATCTCACGTATCTGTACTATTTGGACACCCTGTATATGGTAAATCTCCTATTATTTTCTTTTAAATCTCGATTGTATTTTTTTTCTTTCGTTGTACTTTTTTTTTTTTCTTTTTTGTTTTTTTTTTTTTTTTTTTTTTTTTTTGTTTTTTTTTGTTTTTTTTTTTTTTTTTTTTTTTTTGTTTTTTTTTGTTTTTTTTTTTTTTTTTTTTTTTTTGTTTTTTTTTGTTTTTTTTTTTTTTTTTTTTTTTTTTTTTTTTTTTTTTTTTTTTTTTTTTCTTCTCTCTTCTCAATTTCATACCAGAATCCAGAGGACGAGAGGGATTTGTACGCGTGTGCGAACTGCTTCGAAACTACGCGCATTGCGGTTATATCTCGCACGTGCGTACACGTGCGCATTCTATTATAATTATATAAATTGATAAATTGATATACATATTAATAACAGGGAAAAAAAAGGGGAAGAAGAAAATATTCATCTCGAATTGCAATGCGCTTTTTTTTCTCGTGGCAGCACGTTCGCTCGTATATTTACACACTCGTACCCCTACATTAAAAACCGGGTTACTGATCTGTGTAACATCTACTTTTATAATAGGTAACAAGAGTTTAACGTCAAATTAAACTGAATAAAATAAGGATACGAATAAGCCACGTTCCGAAGGTTTATATAACACGTCGTAAATATATTAGGGCATCCGGTCTTACTATCCTTATTATTGTCTTTTTTTTCTCTTTTTTTTTTTTACACATTCTTACACACTTTTCTTATTAAATTCAATCATGTTTATTCCTTTTCTTTTTATTTATTTGTCACGATTAATTATTTCTTCGTAAAAGAAATAAGAAGAAAATTGTTCATGAAGAAATATTTCTCAAAGGAGAATGTTTTCCATTTTTAGTTTTTATAACGTATCTAGTTTATTTTTGTATCGATATGTATCGGTTGTTTAAAAAGTGTTTTTATCCACAAATATGGATAACCAGATTGATTTCAATCTATCTCAATAATGTTCCGTCTAATCATGTTTAACATTGTGGCCGTTGAAACGATGAGGATAGAAATTCCGGACATTGCATAAATGGTTACTCCGTAAATGCTAACGAGCCCACACCCTCATAAATGTATTCTCATGTAATATCAATGTATGGGCCCGTGTGCATACATATATATGTATACCTATCGTACTAAACATAACTGACAAGCCATAGTTTGTAACGGTATTTATAACTTTACGAAGTGTTATTTTTACTGTAAAACTTGATGACAGATGTAAGAGTGAAAGCAAGGATGCAAAGGAGTGAAAGACAGTGAGCCTGTGCTGCGAGTATACATATATATATACATATATATATATATATATAAAATATTACCTGTCGATGAAACTTCCGTGAAACTTTAATGTTCATCCAGCACAAAGAAATATGAACCATCATTTCGTGTATGTCAGCGCATGAACGAGTATTGTGTAATTGTAGTATTGTTGCGAGTATTTGTAGGTCTTGTGTCTCGTTATAATTTTTTTTTTCTTTTCTTTTTTTTTTTTTTTTTTTTTTTAACCGAGAAACACGTTCGTTCCAATTTTGAATGCTTTATCCAGTGATATCGGACAAGAAAAGAATAAAAATAAAAATTACGTAAAAACGTACTGGACTCAAAAAAAAAAAAAAAAATAAAAAAGTATTCCTTCGAACGATTGACCGTTTTCGCGTCGGCCGCGATGCAATAAGGATAAATGCAGAAGTAAAAGGAAATACTTGCTATTAATCACTTGTTGAATGTAAATGAAATTCGTAAATGTAATTATAATCGACTATTGTGTGCGCGTACACAAGCGAGAAACAAAGCGGATACCGAATTAATAAAATAATTAATAAAATATTACGTGGCCACGATTATATCGATATATACATATACATACATTCATTATATATACGTACATATATATATTGTATACATACGCCGATCGCACAAGTTTTTTTTTTTTTTTTCTTTTTCGTTTATTGTACGTACAATGTACCAGGCATGTGAATA